GGGGGGTTATACCCTCCGTTTATACAAAACTGAGAACCCTTTGGCCAATGATGCTCCTGACCAAATTTGGTCAAAATCCTCTGAGCCATTCAGGACAAGTAGCATTTTAAAGGAAAAAGTTGCCGGACGCCGGACGCCGGACGCTGCACCATGGGATAAGCTCACTTGGCCCTTCGGGCCAGGTGAGCTAAAAACAAAAATGAGACCTAATATTTACACAATCATATTTCAAAGCTTGTATACAGCAAAAGAGAAAGAAAACAAAGACATCAGAATATTATTGGAATAATAATTCATGTTAACCAATGTGTCAGGTATGGGTTGAGGTTCTAGATCTTTTCATGTTGTATCATCCTCGATATCCAGGGGTTACGCTCACTTTTGCTCTCTGCACACCTGGAACATGTCATAGCAAAATTGAAGGCATGTCCTTGTACACAAAATCTGGTTACTCCAGGTGAAATAGTATAGAAGATATGCCCCGACAAACGTTTTCAAAAGTAAGGGTCAAACGTCAAGTCATAAGGTCACAGTTACCTTATTCTTGCACTCTGTCATCCCAAGATGTCCTTGTACACCAAATCTAGTTACTCCAGGTGAAATACAATAGAGATATGTCCCTGGACAAACTTCTCTGATGGAAGGACGGAAGGATGGAAAGACGGAAGGACAGACGGAGGGATGGACAAACCTATTACCCCCGCCCCCTCCCCCGGAGAACCAGTGGGGGACTAAACACTGGTACAGCCTTCTAATGATGAGAATCAATCCTTGCCCCAAAATGGACAGGTATGTCAAAAATTTCTGGACCTCTTATGACCAAAATGTGACAATTTTGCCTTTGATTGTTCCTTTGCAGATTGGGCATTTCAGCTGTGCAGGGTCGCAGTCTTTGCAACAAGCCAGCTCTCCACATGGTATATACATGATCTGTCGAGGTTCATCTCCACACACCCAGCAGTTCTCTTGTTTTCTCAGCCTTTCGTTTTCCTCCACTAATTTGCTGAATTCTGTCAAACAATAAACAAAACACATCAGTTTTAGTGTATCTGTTTGTTTTATGTTTTCATGTCTGGTGTCATATTAACTGGTCGTTTTGTTGTAGGAGCGAGTTCAAGCTATCGTTATCCAGGTTCATCGAGCCTGGGGTTCCACAAGATTTATGCATGAACAATGCACAAATAACATTTGATACATTTATCATGAAGATGAAATTGGAAAGAAACCTACATGGGGACAATTAAGAAACACCAGCTACTTCAGCACCTAACTCAGGCTGCTACTTGGACATAGAATAGTACACACACACTATATGGTTTGGTTTTATATTGTTTAACATCCTATTAACAGATAAGGTCATTTAAGGGCGTGCCTCCGTGTGTATTGTGTAAGCGTGCATGTGTGTATGTATGCCAGCGACTGGGTATGTTGGACTGGTCATGTGAAAGTGGCAAACACAAGAAAGAACAGAAAGGAAAGAAGTAGCTCCCCAGCCGAACCTAACAGTACAGCTCAGGAGTTTCACATGTGTCCGAATGTTTAGCCAATTTATTTAGCCAACTAGAAAGGAGTTTTAACAGAAAGAAAGGGTTATCCAATAAAAAGGGCTGAGCACCAATTCTAGAAAGCTAATGGAAAAAACAGTTCAGTACAGTACAGAAGGAGGTAAGATTGAGAAAGAGCGCAGAAAACAACAAACCGCACACTCAGTTCATTTTTACAGCATTTGTTATTTTTTGAACATATGACAATAACTTTCTTAATGGAAACCTTATATGATACCCCTTATTACTGACACACCTATTTTACACTATGTACAATCATATTTTCTTCGGTTTAACGGAGAATTTTCAAAGCAAATTAAGTCAAAATCCAAACCCATTATTCAGAGATGTTTTCGTGGAGATTTACTAAAATTTTCTCTGACCCAGTTTGCCTTTTGACATGATATTTTGAATCACCATCTACTGAGGTAAGGGGGACCACAGCACGAGTTAAAATTGTGAAGATCAGATCTTGTGTAGACTTGTGTTTAGAAATGTATTGATATATGTGTAAAGTTAGATGTATATATATATATATTATTAATTGTCTTAGCTTTGGGCCGACGCTGATAAACTTGATACTTTGGTCCTTTTTAATTAAAGCTTTCTGTCGGTTATACATTTTAACATGAACACTGGAGACCGCTATATTAGTCCCTACTTATTTATAATCGGGCAAGGTAAAACTAGAAAAGGGTAAAATATTCAACACATCTTTATATACATGTACTATAATTTTCTATTCACCAACAAGATCCTATTTTATAATCAGGATCCCTACATGATAGTAATATTAAACACATAGACCAAACAGAACACTACCTTCATCCTGAGGACTCATTTGGATATCAGACTGTTCCAACTCTGGTTCCCGGCCTTCATTCTGCAAAAGAAAACACAAAAAGATCAACATATACCATTTTCATTTAAGGAAATGAAATCAAAGGCTGTAACTAGCACTGGGGATTATTGGTTTTAAATATCTTTTATATAATTTGATATTTCAATCTTGTTTGTAATACGCTTTTCATTGCTTGTTTTTACAGTCTATATGTGAAAGACCGAAAATATTGAGAACATATTTTGATGATGTCATACACAAAGAACTACTTTTCCCTAGAAAAAGTAGCGATCTTTCACACTCGGATAATTGTCTGTAACCACCAATTTTGACATTGGAAGAGCGAGCATTATACTTAATTTCAAATATATTCCCGTCAACTAGCAAAATCAATTCATGACCTTAATAGTGTCATTATTTGAGAGAGTACATATAAACGATCTTGTTGAAAGCTTCGGCTCAACTAGAATGGCGAGTCATAGCAGCTCAAAGGGTTATTTAAAATATGCCAATTGATTGACCCGAGATAAAATTCACTTAACCATTCATCAAAAAATTCTTCTAATTTCAGGATTGAATTATATCGATATAAAGATGGAAAAACTGAAGTAGACTCTGAACAAACCACTACATCAATAGTCGAAACTATTATTTAGCCCAATTATTCATTTTATTTCAGTTTTGATCTTGTGTAATGTAACTGTTACATGTCCTGTTTATGTGACTTGATAAAGGAGCTGATCCCTCCAGATATTTGACAACTTGATATTGTCTGCGCTGTTGTAATTAATTCCTTGCCCCATTTACCAGTATTAAGCAAGTCCTATCATACAAACATACATTCGTAACGAGCCACTGATATTTTGGATTTCACTGTTGACACTTTTTTGACCAATATATAAAAGAAATATTCTTATTTTGATCGCAGGAATGTTCTACAGCATATCCATCATACGTCATTTTATCATGTAAGGAAATAAATCATACCATTAGATTACCATGCTGATCAAGTCACATTAACTGTTAAAATGAGTTCTACAGACCATTTTTGGGCCAACATGTTATTTCCACTGCAATGTTTACACTCTATTCACTACTATGTATCTACATCAAAAGTACCTTTGATATTCATCAATGATTATTTTTAGGACACGTCCATTAGGTCCTTATTACCGTATTTGACCGCAAATAAGCCCCCACCCCTAGTAAAAAAAAAATAGACCAAAAGTAGGGAGGGGGCTGAATTGCGAGCAACCCCCCACCTGTTCACAAATGTCTGCCATCTTGGATATATACCACTGTTTTGATCTATGACCACACTAAATATCATGTACTTAAATAACAACTAACAGACAGAATATTTAATGACAGTCACCAAAAGTTGATTAGTTGATGGTGCTGTTGTTTTTCTAAACTTATTTCCTATCATCAATTGGTCTCGATAATTCAATTTTATCAAGCATCATTTTTACAATTTTTTATTGATAAGTCAATCAGTGCTCTTTAAGACACAATACCAACATTCAGAGGTGTAAAAAAATGAATAGCACGACAACCAGGCTCCCTGGTGTTTGGCTAGCGCCATTACTTGAATATATACCATACTATAGCTAGCCAATAGCCGAAGAAATTTGAGTATACAAGGCTGAATTAACACAAAACCATTGTTTTAATCAAACAAAAACAACACAACAACTTATCTGTATTGGTTGATACAAATTTCAGAATGACAAGATGAACGAAGTGACATTGACATTCAGATTTGATATGAAAATCAACTATCAATTTGAAAACGATTTTACCTCTCTGTAATTACTCATAAATGTATTCTAAAATATATTTATAAGTTGCTACTTCAGTACAGATTATAGATATAATTTTTCCACCAAGACAAATGCAAAGCAATGCGAATTGGCAACAGTGATATTGACAACTTCACCTACAACCTAGATGATGGAAAGGACCTTCCCTATACAGAACATGAGAAAGATATTGGAGTCACCATTGACAATAAATTAGCATTAATGTACATATACAGTCGAACCTCGTTATCTCGAAGTCGACGGGATCGTTGGGAAACTTCGAGTTATCCGAGTATTCGAGTTAAGCGAGTTCCTATGTTTTGCATAAAACTTGGTGAAGTGTTAGGTGCAATTTGAGGCTATATATGTCATAGATTTTTCTGACAATCAACGTATTTAAACAGTTGATAAATGACAAAAAGATAACTATATAAAATAAAAAATAAATTATTCATAATCATATTCATTAATTAATTAATGTTACAATAAACACACATGCTGTCTCCGACCCCGTGCTATGCTGATAGATACTTCAATGCGGAAATGCAAGTGCGCAAGTCTTTTGCAAATCACTGTATTGGAGCGTACACGTTGGATTGCTCAGTTGATTTCGACATTCCGAAATGGGTTTGAGTTAATCAGGAAACATATCCACATTTATAGACCTCAATGACACTTGACATCTCCTCAACACGACGTACTCAACAATAATTATCGTATTGTTACTATAATCTCTCAATTAATTATCAGTGCCATACAAGCTCCTGTAAAAAAATAAACCAACGAACCAGTCCTAGGTTGTGATATTTACGGTGGAGCTTATTTACGCATGACCGCACACTGTGACCCATTTTCCGGTTAGAATGTGTCGGTTAGAATGTGTCTGCAGCTTTGGTGTAAATAAAGTGCTATTCAAATTGTTTACGGGCTCGCAGTGAGTACTAATTGTTGTTAATCAACATTGATTAAGTTTGTTTCTTCAAACACATTTCAATGACATAAGTTTAATCGAGGTAATTATGACCGAGCGTAAGCTGCTCTATGAGAACGATGTTTACCGTAGCACTGCGTCTAATATGTATCAAATATTTAAAGAATATATGAAAGACTTGTGAATCTTAAGAAACTTCGAGGTAGGAGATATTTTTATGTAGGATTTACGTTGTTGGGACCGATATTTCACTTCGGGATATCCGAGTTTTTCGAGTTTTCAGAGTTCAAATTATCAGAGTTTTTATTACTAAGATTAAGAAGAGTTTTGGCCGGGACCGATGAAATACTTCGAGTTAAACGGGGTCTTCGAGTTATACGAGGTTCGACTGTATCTGAAAAAATCAACAAAGCCAACTCTATAATGGGTATAATAAGGCGTACTATGGAATACATGGATCTGACAACATTCACAGCTTTATACAAAGGACTCGTGAGACCACATCTAGAGTATGCCAACCAAGTCTGGAGCCCCCATCTCATTAAACAGCGAGGAGAGCTACCAAGCTAATACCCGGAATGGCTAATTTATCCTACCCCGAGAGACTTCAACGCCTGAAATTACCAACATTGGCATATCGAAGAGCCAGAGGAGACATGATAGAACTATACAAAATCATGACCGAGAAGTATGATCCCGAGGTGCCGACTCTCATCACACCTAACAAGAACACCACCACCACCAGAGGACACGAACTCAAATTATTCAAACAAAGAACGCGCCTGAATATCCGGAAACATTCATTCCTTCACCGAACCGCGGATATATGGAACGGTCTGCCATCGGAGGTCGTAATGTCACGAACAGTCCAAGCTTTTGAACATAGCCTTGACCGTCATTGGAAGAACCGACCACTTGTGTATAACCACAGGGAAGCCATCGAAGTCACACATACTAATGGTCATTGATTGAACTTTAACGAAAATATCACATTTAAACATTTAAAAATTGCGATATACAAGGGCACCCATATACGTACCAACATTTTTATTTTTGAACCACACTCATTAAATTCACAATGCTACAGTAATATAATTACTTATCATTGAACATCTGTTCTCTAAGGAACTGCAGCTATATATATGTAATGGACTCTCAAAAAAATACTCAGAAATCATGTTATTAATATGTTTAACCAACTATATGTACTATTGTAACTTTTATAATTGAGCTGACAGCAGAGGAAATTGTACAATTTCCTACAGTCAGAATAAATTTGTGTACAAACAACATGTTTCGTTTTATATTGAAATCTGCAAAATACACAACCGATTAAAAAATGAAAGCATGGTGTTCTTTCAGCAACAGAACGATGTTTTGTTTTAAGTTATGTCATCTAGATATCTTGATATTTTGTTATGTTTACATCATATTCAATAATCATGTGTTATAATATTATATTCATCTTTAATTCATGCAATCATCAATACATAATTCTTTATAAAAAAAATCAAAAAAAAATCACAGTACTCAGTAAAGAGTAGATGTCACTACATGCTATTTACTATTGTGCCTATAAATTCAGAAACATAGTTATTTGTAGTATTTTATCTAGGGTTTATGTTGTTCTGCATCCATTTAGCGAAATTGCTTACTGGGGTATGTCAGAGACAAAAATTGACATACATTTTGTTTTTGAGATGGAGACAAAATTAGGGAGGGGGCTTAATTGCAGGCACCCCCCCTATTCCCAGGACATTTGCCAAAGTGGGGAGGGGGCTTATTTGCAAGAGGGGGGTTATTTGCAGTAAAATATGGTACTCGTGATTATTATTATTATTTGAATACATAACTCATGTACTTACCGTTGAAATTGCAGCTCTGACTCTATCAATATAAGCTTGGCCCTTCTGTTGTTTAAGAAACGAACATTCGGGCCCATGAAGGGCATGCTGTGTCCAGGGATCATCTGTCACCTTCCACTCCCGGTCAATCCCGCAGCAACAGGATTTAACACGCCCATCTCCTATTAAAAATACACCACAAGTTACCTGATAGCAGAGGTATCAATGTACATTCCATGTATTGCAAATAAATTTCTTACATTATGTTTGACAATTTTACTCAAATCTTGGAGGAAAAATTTCCCAATTAACTTCAAAGCACTCTTATGTATAAGTATTAAAATAATATGTATACCTATATAATACCATCCTGCTGTAGCCATGGTTTCAAAATCCAGAGATTCATCATCTGCAAGTTCCCAATTCTTAAACGATTCTCTACATTTTGGATTTTGGCAACCTGTGTCAACTGGAGGAGATGAGCCACCTGTAGGTGGACTCCCTTGAACAACATGTACAGTGCTAGCGGCATGTGTGTTGTTGGTCTGCATACTACTAGTTAGGAAGCTCTTAAATTCTGCAAAACATTGACATAAAATGTTAAATTAATTCAGGTAAATACTGTTTCACTATGGGTCTTCATGTTATAAGACATCAGTTTATTGAGAAGTTGAGCCCAAAACAAGAAATTCTCTACAGTTATGCATTTGAAGATCAGTCTCCCACCGCAGACAAAATCACTTGCATGTACGAATTACACTAACGTTACAGTACCCAAATCGGGACACTTTTTAGTGAAATATTGATGTATTTCATACCATATAGTATACCGATCCCAGTAATTTTTGTTCACTTTTCCTAAATAAATATCATTATCTTTTCATTTTGATAACAAGTTGGTATTTCCGGCGCATGGTTCTATAATTAAACGCGGAAATATAGTCATGGTTATGTAATCGCGAAGCAGGTGTAGCTGTATCGGGACACCCCAACCAGTTTTGGCTTGGGGAAAAAAAGTATATATCTTTGGAATATTTAAGAGTCAATGGTTGTTCTGAATGAATTTCTTTTCCAAACTACAATTTGAAAATACTTCTTTGCACAGCATACACATTTCTTGTGACTTTTTCCTTCAAGTGTCCCGATTTGGGTACTGCGACGGTAGTTATGTACTTGTCTAAATATAAAGTAACCTTCCCTGAATTTTTGTTTTTTTAATATAAGAGTCGTTGGACAGGGCCAGATGGGTACCGTTGATCATGTAGCTTAGTTGTTTAGAGAGACTGTAAAGTGATCGTAAACCTGGATTTCAAATCCCTGTCAGGCCACTGCACTACAAAGTATCACACCCTCTATTAGCCAGTCACCTTTATATCAGCCATCAGGCCTGCGCCCCTCAGGCTGATATCAAGGTCTCAGGAAAATAAACGGTGTGATATCTAAACAGTCATAAAATAACCCCTAAAGAAATGGCATAATAATAATAATAATAATAATTTGAGGTTCTTATATACCGCTTTATCACATCCTAGTTCGTAGGTTGTCTCAAAGCGGTTCACAAATTATTATCCGTGGTTATAGGGCCTTTGCAACCAGCCAATACATTTCTTAACTCCCTGGGGAGCATCCAGCCGGAACTGCCATTTCGGCGCTAACAGCTAGCATTCTAGCCCTGCCCAACCACGTACTCATTTACAGCTGAGTAGACTGGAACAAGCAGAGTAAAGTATCTTGCTCAAAGGTACAAACATTGCAAACTAGTAAAAACAATAAGTGTAAATATAAACGTGACCAAAAAGTAAACAAATTATAAAGAAGTCAAGTTTGACTCTTAGTTTAGGATTTTTGGTAAAAAAGTTTATTCCACCACAAAGTTATGCTAATAACATTTACATTAAATCTTTTGTCTCTTTGACCATGCCAAAGGTTAGGGCCTTTAACACAGAAGCATATGGTCTCACAAACTCAGTGTATGCCATTTTTGTTTCCTGCTTTGTTTGAAACGTCGTTGTCAGTTTCATCTGGCTTAAAAAACCAGACTAGTCAGTGTCTTCTGGCTTAAATAACCAGACTACAGGAAGATCTGTTCTTCCCGCATGTACAATGATGTCAAACAGCAATAGCCTGTTTACTCCCGATTCATTTGCCAACTCAACATATTACTTCAATATCAACAAATAACAAAATAGTGATATACTGTCCACACTCACCTAAATAATCAAGTTTTTTTTAAATTTCACAGACAGCCCTCCACAACGTAATGTCGACAACATGTCATTGTGCTTTAAATTTTTATTTATAATTGTAACAAACCAAGACNGCTTTAAATTTTTATTTATAATCGTAACAAACCAAGATATGAGCAGGTACAACCGCAAGATCAAGCCTTTACTGTAAGCACAGGGTCACATTACAAATGTCTGNCTTAGTCTGTAAACAACTTACAAAAGGACTATAGTTGAGACTAAAAATAAACTCACATATTTGATTCTATTCTTTGATGCCAAGTAATAATGGCCATAATAATGAAATAATGACCTACTGCTCTGTGATAGTGAAAATGAAATTGACAGATGAATGCATCACACCATTGACACCTGGATTTGTTTGCTTTGTGAAACAGCTATGGTCATTTGAAATGGACATGCCAGGTTTTGGTGGCACTGGAAAGCTGGAGTATCGGGAGAAAAACCACAGACCAGCAAGCAGCCAGTACCTAGCGACTGTGCCACACCATGTAAGCCTGGAACCTACAACCCAGCGGTGGCTAGTGATTGTAGATGGTCAGGCCTTAACCACATGGCCACAGTGGCCCCTCGACTCTTGGAGAAATTACCCAAAAAAGGTGAATATTTTTCTAGGCTTCCAAAGAACTGGTTACTGAAAAATGTGCTATTTGACAAAAACATGAATGCATGGTTATATATTAACACCGCAATAATAATGGTGGAGATTCCGCTTATGATGAAAATGTAGTCCCAGTGCAAGGGTAGCATATGTTGTCGTGGTACTGTACCTGTATATTTCCCATGTCCTGTGCCTTTAT